TCATAAATTCGGTAATTTTATTCAAAGCTCTGAAAGTTTTCTTCAATTTACTAAATCATCATCACCTGCACATAACACAATTCTTATCACATCAATAAATACTGTTACATATACAACATTAGTATTAAGTAGATTCATTAACAGTTCTAAAATCCTTAAATATCTATTAAATATACAATATAAATATTAGCAATCACTTCAATGACTATTCTTTTAATTTCTATTAGATACACGATATAAATATTAACAATCAATCAATAACAAATCTCTAAATATCTACAACATAAATATTAGCAATCACTTCAATGACTATTCTTTACATATCAATACACGACATAAATTTTAACAATCAGTCAATAACAATTCTTTAAATATCTATTAAACAATATAAATATTAGCAATCACTTCAATGACTATTCTTTACATATCAATGCACGATATAAATATTAACAATCAGTAAATAACAATTCTTTAAATATCTATTAAACAATCTAAATATTAGCAATCACTTCAATGACTATTCTTTACATATCAATACACGATATAAATATTAACAATCAGACAATAACAGTTCTTTAAATATCTATCAAACAATATCAATATTAGCAATCACTTCGATGACTATTCTTTACATATCAGTACACGATATAAATATTAACAATCAGTCAATGACAATTCTTTAAATATCCATTAAACGATATAAATATTAGCTTTCACTTCAATGACTATTCTTTACATATAAATACACGATCTAAATATTAACGATCAGTGAGTAACCTTTAAATATCTATCATATATATGAACCTTATAAGAATAATAGTAACTAAACAACTGAAAACCAACTTTCATACAGTTTTTCCTGAAATGAAACGCGACATGTCTTTACAGTATCTTTCAATTTGTGTACGCGTTGCTCCCCTGTTTCAATACATCTCTCCAAAGCTAAAAAAAAATGTTGATAGCAGTTTACTCAATATCTCGGTCGTACCTCCTCATACTCTCCTCAACTTTTTCCCTCCTTTCTTGATCTCTCTTCCGAAGGCGTCGATTTCTCCCCGGATTCTAGGTGTCCCCGTTGAAAAAAAAATGGAGTTGAAAGGGAATTTCCTACATTTTCAACCCATTGCAGCGCGCAGCGAGCTTCCAAATCGAGTGTCCGCATTTTTTCGAGAAGTGTGCGTACATCAGGATGATCCGTCGCAAACGTGGCATTCAATTTGCTGGAAAGTTTCTTGGAAGGAAAGTCAATACTGCGAGGTTTTGCAATAACTTATGATAAGCCTCTGCTAAGTTCGTGGTGCGCAGATCCATGATTTCCCACTTGCACCAGAGGTCTTC